TATACATTTATATATGTTTGTCATTGTATTAGTTTTTTTTTGTCTTATATTTATAATTTTTAAAAAATATTATTTTTGTGTCAGAATTTAATAAAAAAAACAAATGCGTAAAACAAGAACAAAAAATACGAGACGAATGTATTAAAACCCATCATATATATATATATAACATACGTGTTGCACCAAATACTGTATACGCTTTACAATATCCTATATACTTTGAATCTTTTTTCCTTTCTCATAAAACATAGTAAAGAAGATAATAATATGATCTCCAAGTCTCTCGCGCGTTATTACATACCTTTATATAACATAAACATAAACATTTTATACTTTCACGTGTAAAAGTTAAAAGAAAGAGAGAGAGAGAGAGAGAGAGAAAGAGAGAGAAAGAGAGAAAGATTTGTCAATAAAAATAACTTATACGTTAAATCCCAGCACACATACACGTATGGGCTTGGACGTTTTGTCTTCTACACGCGTTGTGTGTATTCTCTTAAAAAATCTAAAAAAAAAATTATACAGAATTTTGTATTCGTTTTCTTTCGGCGAGATAACACGTAATTATTAAATAAAACAACATTGGTAATGTGTGACAATGGACTACGATACTTAATAAGATAAAGCTGCTGATCGAATACTGTGATAATGAATAATTAATTATTAGCGGATATTACGAATGATGTGGCATCAGGTGCCTCAGTCCGTTTTTGTTGGTTGTACTCTAGGATACAACTGAAACAGTAAAATAATATTTATGAGGATTAATTACATATAAAGTAAAGAAAAATATTTACTAAAGCTTTTTAAGTAGAAAATATATATTAATAATATTTTTATAAGTGTAACTTACACCCAGTAAGTTTCGAGGTACATAGCCCTCTTTGTGTCCAATTTTGCTCCACCACCATTCTCTTTCGTTATCGTCACCTTTACGAAGCACGACCAAAGAATCACCATTTTTTAAAGAAAGTTCGTCACTATGTTGCGCCTCATAATCAAAAACCGCATACACTTGACCATTATTCATAATTCCTAATTTCTCTTGTACACCTGTAACGAAAGTTTGCCAGTTAATTTGCTAATTAATCTGCTAATTAATTTGCTAATTAAATCACGATACACACGATGATGAATATATAACCATAATAATAATAATAATAATAGTACTAACTGTATAAATATTCCGAGCATCCGTCAAAGCCCTCTTCGTCTTCTTCACATTTTTCCGCTGCTGTTTCGTGATCGGAAAGTGTCGTTGCAAAAATGCAAGCACCGTGTTCTACCAAAAATCTCACCATAGAGAGATTGTTGCAACTCGCGGCACAGTGAAGGGGTGTCCTATAAAATTGAACAAGCATTACATATATATATATACAATACATAAGAGGAATGCAAATTCTATATGCAAATATATGTAAATAGGAGATAGAAATAGAAAATGTAGGAAAAATATTGATATTACCATCCATCGCTATCTTGAGCATTAACATCGCAGCCAAATTCAACAAGAAATTTCACGATTTCAAGATGACCAGCACATATGGCGTTGTGAAGGGCGGTTATGCCCTCGTCATTGGCCGAGCTTGGATTGGCAACCTCTTTGGCGGTTTTCTTCACTAGTTCGAGCTCACCTTCTAGGCTGGCGTCCAAGAGAAGTGCAAGTGGGTCGAAGGAAACTCTTCTCGATAGATTAGCTTTCCCCGTGCTGGACTTCAGATTACCTTTTTTCCTTCTCATTACTTCGGACGTCTTACCATCTATATCTAATTCTAATCTACGTTCCGTGTCACTTTTTAATTTAGGTTTATCCTCGATGTTGATTATATTCAAAGCATCAATGATATCCGACTCTTCTAATTTTTCGTTTCCAATTACATCCTCGCCGATAATCGTATTATTTTTCTTACAATTACTGTCCGTCGTGTCGATTATTTGCTGAGATTGTTGTTGTTGTTGCTGTTGCGGTTGCGGTTGCTGTTGTTGTTGCTGTTGTTGTTGCTGTTGCTGTTGTTGTTGTTGTTGCTGTTGTTGCTGTTGTTGTTGCTGTTGTTGTTGTTGCTGTTGTTGCTGTTGTTGTTGCTGTTCAGGTTGCATGAGGTCCGCTGGTATTTCAGTTTCCGGGAAAAGAAAAGCCGGGGGCATTTCAATGCGTCGATTTATCGACACGTGAACATTCGATTTAGCATATCGCAACTTAGGTTGTTCCGAAATTGGTGCCTTCTTCAACGTCAACGGACGTGCCTTAATAATTTGATGATTACTGAGTTGAGAGTCCGTTGGTGATTCCGGTGGTTCCGACGTAGGAATAGGTGGTATATCTTCTTCTTTCTCGGTTCTGAAAATTATTAAATAATATTAATAGATACCAAAAAAAAAAAAAAAACAATAAAACAAGAAATCAACACTTTACAATGTTTAAAGAGTTTTATAATACCATTGCATTCAATGATTCTTTACAATTTAACTTTTATTTTAGTTAGCAAATTTAAGTCGGTATTTGCTACAAGTGTTTCGCGATTGTCTTTCGAGTGAACAATACTCGTTAAGGTAAAGTTTGCACGACCCACTCGATTAAAGTACCTATACCTCTACTCGTCGTTTTTATTCGATATTGAAACAATGAGAAAATATTCTTTGAAAAAAAAAAAAAGAAACGAAATGTTGCAAAGAATATAAAAAAATGTTTAAAGTATCACCGAGACCACTTTGGTATCCTACGCCTTTATCAATCAGAGACCTCGCGGGAACTAAGCGCACGTATGTTGTCTCTTCAGTACATTCGTCGTTCTATTTCGGTGTCTATTATTCGAGACAGGCCTCACACTCGATTCACTCTCGCCAAATCGATCGTGGACTAATTAACATTTATAATTAACCCACCCCATGTAATTGTTTCCCCTCTTTTTCTCCTAGCTGGATAAGTTGAATTCCTTTTCATTCTCTTTCCTACTTTCATTTTTTTTTTACGTATAATGTATGCAACGTTGTAATAATAATAATGATGATTATAATATATAAGAAAGTATAAAAAGAAAGTATGTAGAAATATATGTAAAAATGTACCTGGAACCAATGCTAACAACAACCGCCGTTTTACAATCGTTGAGTCCATCCGAAGTTACATCGATTTTGTCATGATGAGTCAGCCTAGGAGGTGGATTGGGTTTGCTCGGTTTTGGGGGTAGCGCAGGCTTAATCTTGTCCTCTGTTCTCAATTCATTCAAATTCTTTCTCTCGTTTTCGTTCTTTAACCTTTCAAACTCGAATGGCTTTTCCGATAGCTTGCTAGGTGGTTCAAACTTGACGTTGTGATCGTGCTTGATCGTCGTGCTTTGTTCGTATTTCGAAGACGTCGATTCGAATTTATTTTGTCCCGATTCGTATTTAGTTTGCTCTTGCTTGAATTGTTGAGAATTGTTCGTTATCTCGTGCTTGAAAGATGTATTACCACCGTGTTGCTCGTATTTAACCGAATTTCGATTCTCGTGTTGATCGTGTTTGTATTGCTGCGAGGATTGACCGGAATCGTATTTGGCATTATGGTGTTGCTCGTGTTTCGATTGCCCATTCTCGTGTTTCTGATCGTGTTTAATACCTTGCTCGTACATCTTTGATGGTTGATCGTATTTCATTTGTTGACTATCGTATTTAAAGAGATTTCCATCGTATCTGATTTGTTGTTGTTGTTGTTGTTGCTGCTGCTGTTCGTGTTTAGATGGCAAGACGTGTTCGAATTTATCCTGTACTTTCGTTGGCTCGAATTTATTTTTATTATCATTCTGAGATTCGTTTTGGTTTTGATTGTATCGTTGAACATTCGTATTACTATTTAGAGTTGTTACACTTGGAGTGGCATGTACGCTTGCCACGAGATTCGGTGAATTTTGGGTTTGATAAATCGTTGAAGAAGATACGTGAGTGTTCGTCTGACCAGTACCATGTTGTTGTTGTTGTTGTTGTTGTTGTTGTTGTTGTTGTTGCTGCTGCTGTGGCTGCTGTTGATTGCTTCCGTAATTGTGCCTCGACGCGTAATTAGACTCTTGAGTGGAACTGACGTTTCCTTGCCCCGTTTGATTCGCCTGTTGCTGACTGTTGTTGTTTGACCCACTCAAACCCACAAAGTTTTGGGTCGTCGAGTGGGCTCGACCTATCAGACTGAGGGTCTGCGGCATCACAGGATTGATCTTAGTCGAGGACGTTTGATAAATTAAAGATTTAACAGGAAAACTTGGTGCCACGCTCGACACCGGTTTTTGATGTGTCTGTAGATTTCGATGATTATGGGCCTGAGTGATGGACGGTGCTGAGCCTAAACTAGAACTCGAGGAACTCGTTGAATTGTATTGCTTCGTTTGAGTATTACCGTGCTGTGCCTGTTGTTGTTGTTGTTGTTGCAACTGTGATTGTTGGTTATGAGCATGAATCCTAAAGTTCTGTGACAAATTCTCCTGCGTGAAATTATTGTGTGTCGAGCCGATGAGATTGTTATTGCTATTATTATTGTTATTATTATTATTATTGTTATTGTGATTATTGTTGTTGTTGCCGGTCATGTTGGTATTGTTGTTGCAGTTTCCCTGCAAATTGGCAGTCTGGTTACCAAGATTTTGATTATGCTGCTGTTGTTGCTGTTGATTCGATCCAAGGGGTTGAGACTGACCTGTAAAATCATAGGTAAACGTAGGGTGAGACGTATATGTGTGTGTATGTATGAGGATATAGGATATTGGCGAATATTGAAAAATAAATATAACAAAACTTACCTTGTATGTGTGACTGCGACTGGCTGTGGGCGATTTGATGACCGAATTGTTGAAAGGCAGTCCTCTGTCCGAGTTGTGAGGCACTCGCGCTGTGTTGTATCTTATTTTTATTAACGTCATCTTCGACGGCTTTGAAATTCACGGTAAACTTGGTGTTGTACGGTAACGTCTGATACTTCGGATCATTTTTATTAAGATTGAAATCATTGTCGTTAGGTATGTGCGAGTAAGGTTCGATCGCTGCAATGTTACCCGTAGGTCTCGCTTTATTACCGGCATTAAAATCGAGTTTAGTTTCCGTGAAAACGGTGTTCGTAGTTGCGTTCGTACGATTCGTCGAACCAAGTTGTTGGCTTAATCGTTGATTCAATGCTCTTTTACGTTGCAATCGACCCTGAAGTTGCGCTATCCTTGCATCGATAGACGCCATTTCTGCTTGTCTCTGAGCCAGTGCTAATCTCTGTTGTGATACTACTTGATTTTGTTGCTCGTTCATCTTGTTGCGATACTGGGGTAAGAGGGACAAAATGTTGAATGTATAACTACGATTTACAACGTTAAAGAAATTGAGATAAAAACAACTCACCATGAGTTCCCTTCTAAGTTTTTCGAGTTCAGCACTGGCTGGTGTCGACAAGTGTCCCGCAGCGATACCACCAGGTCCGGTACCGGCGACCCCACCTCCACCACCAACCCCCGTTCCGGTACCACCACCGTTCTGACGACCCCTTAATTCTTCCAATTGTCGCGTCAGCTCTTCGACCTTCGCCACCGCCAGGGAAAGCTCTTTTTCCTTTTCATTGAACAGAGCTCTTATACAATCCAGGTCCGATGCTGTAAAATAAAATGTAAGAAAATGATCATTTCAAATCTTTTCTTTTTTTTTTTTTTACATTTTAAATCGACGTTCGTATTTTTAGAAAATACGCAAGTGTATTTCAAATTATACAAATTTTTTTAACAAGATGGATAAATTGTTGCAGTTGGTAAAATACAAATTACTGGAGTACCGTGGATATAATTAAAAGAATAGGAAAAAAAAAAATAATAATAATTATCAGTGAAACAACGGAATTCTTTGTTCCGTTGTTCTTCCGAATCAAAGTTGATTTCATTTCCTCCTCGATCGTCCTTTTGTCTTCCTTCCTATCTTTTTACTTCTTTTTCTTATTATTTTATAATTCCGGAATTGAAGTCTTTCACTTTTGCACCTTTCTTTATTTTTCTTTTTCTTTTCTTTCTTTGTGAACACGCGTTAGATTGAACAAAATATACAATACGGTGTTCTCTCGGCCTTATTTCACGATCTATTGTATTAACGTAATCCAGTGGCCCGCATTGAAACCTCAGATTTAATGGAAAACGATGTCACCTCGATAAATTCACTTTTCATCTTCACTTAACTACATATATTTTCAAATTTATCTATCTTGATCAACCAAACGTATTTTTAAGGACCAACCAAATAGAATTTATAATGTCGAGTTTTAAGAGATTAATTTGACAAATTAGACGATCGTAAATATCATCAGATCATTGAGTTGTTAACAATTGGAATGTTTCCATTTTACATACCAATCAAATCATTTATCTCTTTTTAGATCAAGGACATATTACTAAGACGGAACATTATTTTGTTAGATAATCTTATTCTCATTTTTTTTTTTTTAGTATTCAATTATGTTACATTTCGATCGATAGTTTTTATCAAGGATTTGAATTTATTAATTTTTTGTACATACGTATGGTATTAATGAAATGATTCATTTTCTTTTTAGATCAAGGACACACCGTACAAAATAGAAAATTCTTCAATCAAATGTTCTTCTTTTTCGAATGAGAAAGGATTGATGTGGAAGTGCCGATAGTGCCGAGGATGATAAAAATGAAGTTACTTTTTGAAAGATAGCGCGGGTTTTCGTGGTATGCGAGAAAAGTGAGAGCACACGTGTGGCAAATTCGAAGGAAACTGTTGAATAAGCCCTGACACGTGTATTCGAAAAGCTCAGCACCATCAAGGTACGTGCCAAAAGCTCTTACGCATAAATTTCATTCTATCCTTCTCTCTTATTCCTTCTATTTCTCTCTCTCTCTCTCTCTCTATCTCTATCTCTATCTTATTATATACTATTTCTCTACCTTCGAGTTACTTCGAGTGAGAGAGTAGGTCAACGATCTTACATTGGTTTTGTGCTTTTGCCAACTCATGACTAAGGTTTGACCGTAAAAGTCTTGCTTTAAAGGAAATGCGACGACGACAACGATGACGACAACGACGACGACGGTTTGTCTCGAAAATCATTTCACCCCTAGTCTATTCATTTTCTTGCTTTTTCTTTTTGTTTTGTTTTCTTTTTTCTTTTTTAATTTAGTAGAACAGAATGTAGGGCGGCTGAGTATTGTGAATATAATTTTATTATTTCTTGTTCCAATTATTATGTTTTTTTATTTAATAATTTTAATATATTTATTCAACACAATTTTCTTGTTAAATTAATTTTTTTCCGTTTTTTTTTTTATTTTTTATTTTAATAGAACCAATGCTGACTAACTGTGAATAGAATTAATTTATTGTTTCTTACTTCAATTATTATTTTATTTAATAATTATATTTATTCAATCAAATGATCAGAGAACTTACTTTTGACCTTGCTATTGTAATGTTTATTATTAGATCTATAAATAATATTTCTATATTATTTTCCATGAAATATCTTTATTAATTATTTAATCACTATACACACTGATAGTTTTCTTAGAACGCATACATGCACATAGTTAATTAATTTTTCTTTTTTATAAATATTAAACAAATATCATAAATATGACTGATATTTATCTATTCAGTATTTTCAAGATATATTTTAATTAGTATTTTAAATAAAATAATTAATAATTATTTAACATATATTTGAATAAAGTAATTAATTAATACTTAAAAAAATATATTTATATATAATCCTTATATATATAAATATAATATAAGATAAAGTCATATCAAAAGGAAGATATTCGATATTCTGCTTTAGTGCAAATCAGTGGAATAGCCGTAACAAGGGATGTATAGCTGTAAAAAGGGAACGACGTATCTTCTAGATACTTTTCGAACGTCTTTTTCTCACCGAATGGAAATGAAAAGTCTAATAAGACATGATCCAACCTTCCGAACGAACGAACGAACGAACGAACGAACGAACGAACGAATGAACGAACGAATGAACGAAGATTCTTCTTCTATCTCAGAAGAAAACGACGGAGCTTTGAGTAGCAAAGTAGCGAATCCCACCTTTTCTTTTTTTTATCAACTTTATTTCTACTTATTCGTCTTCTTCTTCTTCTTCTTCTAGTAAAAAGAAAGAGATGAGAATAAAAAAAAGAGAGATAGAATGAAAGATACAGCTTTATGAAATCTCTCAGTTGAAATTATTATCAAGGGGCTTTGAATAGTACAGAAAAAAAAAAACAGATAAGAATGAGATAGAGATAAAGAAAACAAAGAACTTTTATATCAGATGTAGTAATTAATTCGGTGCACCTTTTCTTTTTCTTTTTTTTCTTAAACGATCATTACTTTCGTTCGTATTCGAATTACTTAACGTCTTTGAATACAGGAATACACAGAATCATCTCTGTTATGTGTACCAATTAATTCGGTGCATTTATTTAACAAATTTCAGATTTATTTATAAAATAATCACATATTAGTTTGTTATTATTCGAAATAGTTTCAATGAATTTTTTTGAAATTAAATTTATTTAACAAATTAACAATATTTGCGATAAATTATTAAACAAATTTATTTAACAAATTTTAAGATTTATTTATAAATCTTAATCACATTACTCGAAATAGTTTTCATTAATTACGATAAATTTATTTAACAAATTAACAATATTCGCGATAAATTATTTAACAAATTTATTTAACAAATTTAAGAATTTATTTATAAAGTAATAAAAAAAAAATTACTCGAAATAGAGTTTCCATTAATTTGTTTAATTAAATTTATTTATTTATTTTCTTTTTTTGTTTGATTTCTTTTTGTTACATCATTCAATAAATTAGCGAATTTTTTGACGAATAAAAAAGATGACGATTTGAATGAAATTTATTAAATATCAAGATACCAAATTAATTGTAACATCTATCGAATTGAAAATATATTTTTGAAAGAAAATATTTATTGTTTTAAATTAATAACAGCAAGGGGTGAGAGTTGAATACGAATATTTCTGAAATTAACTTTACGTAAAATATTACATAAGTGTTTATACATTTGAACATCAATTTTTCATCTTATTGTTAGCATACATTTGTGAGATAAATATTTAAAATAATGGAAAAGGAAGATTATATTTTTATCGTTTATTATTTTTTGTTTCTCTCTCTCTTTTTCTCACTCTCTCTTGAAAAAGTCGTTTTTCTTTTCGCATCAGAAGAACCACCAACCAACCTCATCCTACGAAAAGGCTCTTTCTCTTAAAACGCTTTGGTCGGTCGAGCTTCTTTCGCAAGCTCAGCTAAGCTAAGCTTTTCCATCGTGCGAATCGAATTCACAAAGTCGACAACGTGGAAAGAATTCAACGATATTCTTTTTTTTTCTTTTGTTCTTTTCAAGAAGAAAAATCGATTAGTATTACGAGAAAGAAAAATGTAATAGAAAAAAAAATGAAAAGACAAGTTATGTATCGGGGATTAATTTTTGACGTTAAATACGAGCTAAAGAATGATACACAAAATTTATTCCAATTATAAAATTCTGTTGATCTCAAATTTTTCAAACAATTTCCCTTTTTTTTTTTCCTCTTCACTTTTTGTTTCATACTTTACAAACGATTTAATAACAATAATCAAATGTTATTTCATTTATATTACAACTTTATTCAAATTATTGTACACTTATTTGAGTTTAATTTGAACAAAATAAAATATTAGGAATTAAAAAGATGAAAAAAAAAAAAAATAATGTAAACAAAATTGGAATGATAATGATTGAGAAAAAAAAAATATTCTCGATAAGAAATATTTCTTAATTGTTCCATTGAAAATTATTCGAATTTTAATAAATTATACAAATTCTCGTCAAATAATGTGTTTTTATTATTCGAATTTTATTTATTCGTAATGAAAATTTACATTGAAATGTGAACGGACTTTTGATATCTCTTATCATTCATTTTTTCAAATCTACCTCGAAAATCCTTTCATCATTCCTATTGTTTCACGCTCCCTTTCATAAACATTTTATATTTTTTATCTTTTTTTTTTTTTCATTGTTTCTTTATCTATTTTTATTATCCTCTTTTTTTTTTTCATTTCTCCTAATATTCTCCACTTTATCCATCTCTCATTATTATTATTATTATTATGATTATTATATCGTGAAAATAGGGAGGTAAAAATATAGAAACTATAAATTGATTTACAACAACGATATAAATGGTATCGTATCGATATACACTGTCTTTTTAATTTTATTATTATTATTATTATTATTATTATTATTATTATTATTATTTTAAATGGGATATAGAAGAAAATTACGTTCATTTGGTAGTTCGACGTTAAAATAACGATCATTTGTATCTTTTTAAAAACCACAATTCTTGTGTCTCTCTCCTTTGAAAACGATTCGTTCGTTCAACCGCACGCCTTCGCATTATGCTTCAAGATGCAATACCTATATATATATATATATATATATGTATATGTGCAACACGTTGAGAAATCACATACTCTTTCTCTCTCTTTCTATCTCTCTCTTATTCGTTTTTATTCATTGAGTCTTGTTTTCTTTCCTTTTATCGTTTTCATTTCTTCCGCATCCGCGGTT